ACGACGCTCGTCAAATGCAGAGCACTTTCGTCATACGATCTTGCAGGAATCAGTCGATGTTCTGTAACAGACGAGTTGAAGTAGAAACTCCAAGCAACAGCAAGAGGAAAACAGTGATTTTAAGTTATGATAGCGTTTTTAACGGGACAATATTGGAACTGGAATGCACGGGAGAAACTGTCTCTGATCGTGTTGACGTCAATTATGTCTAATCATTATTTTATCTGTCTTGTAGTTGTTGTGCGTCGATTAGTATTCACAACAAGTAATGAGAGCGTTTAAACTGATAACAAAATTTTCGCTTGATTTCCCGGATTGTACTTCATTTCATTTTATCAGATACAAGTTAGAAATGTATTCGCAACCGCCAAGGTCTTTAAAGTAATCAAGTGTTGGCATGATTATATGATCTTCATGCCGTTATAATGTCACTTAGTATTTGATACTTGCTCGCTTTCTGCTTCGGTAATTCACAAGTGGAGTTTGGGACAACTAGGTCCATACAATTCTAGCCAGTGATAATGGATAGAGAAAAAAGACTTATGAAATGTAGAATTTTCTACAAGGAAATTGAGTGAAGTTTTCTCTTGATTTAAGACAAAAATATTTTTATCCACTTGACAGTTTAGGCAATAGCTCACTTGAATAATGTGGAGCAAGATTCTTGACTATTTTGTAAAATTCGTGTAATGTATGTAGTTCTCTCCTGATGCTGAGAGGCTTCCAAGCAAGTTCATCATGTTCCTTTGTGGAGCTGGTTCCCTTCTTAGTTATAAATTAAACATAAACAAAAAATTATTATCGGTTTTCTTTACTCTTTGTAATTAAATTGTTTATTGCATCAACCACATCATTACATGGCATAATGTGTACATCAACTTTGGCTGACCTAGATCTTATGCAAGATGTATCAAATTGAAAATTGTTGTCTCAAAAGCATCATGCTGGGTCACAAACTCTTCAAAAAAGAAAAAAAAAAGAATTAAAAAACAAAAAAAAAATTAAACACAAAAAGGCTCTCATTCTGGTTTTTTGGTATTCCAAACAACGAATTATGTCAGAGAGAAGGACTTATGAAATCAGTTTCTGTTAAAGAATCAGGATCATCTTCTGAGTAATTTTCTGTGTCAATTGCAAATGAAAACAACTTACAGAGGATAAAATGAAATAACAGGTTCGGAAATAGCTACTTGCATGGTTTGAATATTTTCAGCTTGGAAATCATTCATGTTTTGGTTTATATTACAACTGTTTAAGGTTATCACATCAAAACATAACCAACCATAGATTTGCACTAATGATTTCTTTCCTGTTAGATATTAACCTTTACAATAAAAGTAATCTTCATGTTGTTTTTAAAGAGTCAGGAGAACTCTGTTTTAAAATTCAAGTATTTTCTTGTTCGTAATAGCCTTGTTGTTAACATGTATAACGCAAGCAGTTGTTTATTTTTGACAAAAAAAATTATACAGTGAGACTTTTGGGAATGTGATTTTTCTTTCTGTTTTCCAAACACCATTTGGCAGAATTGACATCAATTATTGCCTTTGTTTAGTTTGATCAGTCACATTGTAATCAATTTATTCTTAATGTTTCATTTCATTGAGTCAGTTTATAATAGTCATTGTGTATGTGATTACCTAACTCACCGATGCAAAGATTTTTACATGTATATAGTAGCATAGTTTCCAACTTTATGCATGAACGACATGTAATTAAATTGACTTATCAGGCCTTTTTCAGATAGTGTTTGAAACTTATAAAAACAGAAATTGATTTTCCTTTAGGGTTATTATAATAATTACAACTTCCTCTGATTAGCCTTTTTCCTTTGGCTCAATCATGATGACCTTTTTAATTAGACCTTGTGGATAGACAAAGAGTGCAAGGACCAGCAGCACAGTTGGCTTATAAAGAGGCTTTAAAAGAAGGATATGTACAAGTTTCCCGAGGTCGTGTTATACTGGTTGGTCAGGAGCGCGCCGGTAAAACCAGTCTGAAGAAGAGTCTTTTAGGCCTTCCATTTGACCCTAAAGAGCAGAGTACTGAGGGGATAGAAGTGGATCCTTCGAAATGTGAAATTGATGTTGACCAAGCTGTCAAGAACTGGCAGTTGACCAGGGAGAGTAAAACAGGCCTGGTTGAATGTTCAAAAGATGTATCAAAGATTGTGGTCGGCAGAATGATTGGAGCAGATATTTCTCAATTTTTAAAGGAAGAGACAACCGAAGAAGGAGAACTGAAATTAGAAGATGAAGTTGAAGATGTTTTCAAGTCAAAGCAGGTTTGAGAGTTTAATAAAAATGCTAAGAATTTTATAAAAGGAGGAGAAGGGAGGAGAGCAGCCGAATTAGCCTTTTGAGAAATATTGTTTTTAAAGAGAATGAATAGGATTACAACTTGCTATTTTTAAAAATTGTTTTCTCTATTAAAATTCTAAATTTCTTACATTTAGAATTGTGTCTGAAACAGTCTGTTTCTTTTGAATGTTTTCACAAAAGTTTAGATGAGACTAAATTTTATTTACACATCAGGTAAAAAAGAACTGCAAGTAATTTTTGTTTAAACATCTTGAATGAAGGCATACGTGCAAAACTTTTACTACAAAAATGAGGGGCATCTTTTGATTTAATTTTCCATTCTTCAATTGCATTTCCAGTGGTGTCTTCTCTTAACTTAAAGGAAATTTGAGATTTTTTTCTCCAATTATATATAAATTTTTAGTTGTAATTATTTTTTATTCTCTGATATAATGTTTTCATAACTCTTGTTACATTTTGGCGATAAAATCCTTGTAGAGGAGCTTTAATGAATGTATGTTATGCTAATGCTTATGTAACTTCAGTCTCAACAAACATTTCTTGGTCTGAGTTGACCATCTCCAGGGTGCGAGGATTTGCTCTTCGATGTCTTATTCTATGCAATTAAGTTTCTCTCTGTCTAAGTGCTCTTACACTTGAGATGTCAGCTTCAGAACTCTCTACAGTAGCCAATTTACAACTTCAACTCAGTTGGTAAACCAAGTTATCTCGTTATATACCCTCACTAAAGCAGTACGACAATGTTTTAGAAACTCGCCCCTTAAAATTATTCTAGACTGAGGTGATCATAATTTTTTACAATTTAGCAGCCTGTTCACAATGTCAAGTTTTGAATACATAATTATATACACTTTAAGTAAGCATAATGTTTCATTTAATTCTCCATTCAGGTTGAGGAGGATGAATGTTTCATAGACATTCTGCCAAACAATGGCAATGAGCATTCTACTGAATGTAAAGGTGAAAACATGCAAGCTGAGCCTGATGTGAACTNTACTTAGAGGAATAAAATATAACTCATTAGTTTGGTTTAGTAGAAGTTAAATTATAAACCTCATTTTTTCCATTTTTGGTTCAATGGTTATAATGCCAAAGCAAGTTAGTTTAAGTTACTCACCTTTAATGACAGCTTTTATTTTTGTTGTGACAGTTTCCCATGAATGAAATGGAATTTCTTTCTAAAGAAGAGTTAAGAAGAAAGATGTTAACATCTTTGGGAGGAAAGAGTTTAAAACTCAGTGGGCAAAGTTTGCATGAATTGCCTGCAGCTTTGTTTGAATTGACTGAGTTGGAGAAACTTGACCTGTCAACGAATAAACTTACAACAATACCTGAAAATATCAGAAAACTAAACAATCTTGTGGTACTTGATATGAGTACAAACCAGCTGTCTATATTCCCTACAAGTTTGACTCAGCTGAAGAAACTCCGATGGCTGAGCATCAGAGATAACAATCTAACCACTATCCCTGATACTATTGGGGAGATGGTGGAGCTGGAGGGACTGGGGCTGAGTGACAACCAGTTGACTGTGTTGAGTCCAGCTATAAAACAGCTGAAGAAACTTAAAGGGCTTGACATCATGGATAACAAACTAACCACCATCCCTGATGCTATTGGGGAGATGGTGGAGCTGGAGGGACTGTGGCTGAGTGGCAACCAGTTGACTGTGTTGAGTCCAGCTATAAAACAGCTGAAGAAACTCAAATGGCTGTACATCTCACATAACAATCTAACCACCATCCCTGATAGTATTGGGGAGATGGTGGAGCTGGAGACACTGTGGCTGAGTTACAACCAGTTGACTGTGTTGAGTCCAGCTATAAAACAGCTGAAGAAACTCAAATATTTGTATGTGGAAGGGAATCCTTTTACAGTTGAAGGAATGAGAAGTGTTATGGAGCTAAAGGATAGGATTTACAGTGTATCTTCAGATATCGTTGGTGAGTAAAGGAAATTCCTCTTCACATTAATGTTGTGACATGTGCATTTACTAAATTGGTTCTAATGGTTGACTTGCAACAACATTTAGCTTATATCATACAGAATTTTTGGACTGATATGATTTTAAAATGAGAGTTTAGGTTACTGGGAATAAAACTTTTGTCTTAACTCGTCAGGAGTAATTCTGATAATTGTTACACCATAATTTATGCTGGCCTTGTAATATTTTAGAATGTATCAATTGCTACATTTTGGGGATATGTGATTTTTCTTTCTGTTTTCCAAACACCATTTGGCAGAATTGACATAAGCTATTACCTTTGTTTAGTTTGATCACTCACATTTTCAATCAAACTCGTAATGTTTCATTTCATTGAGTCAGTTTATAATAGTCATTGGGTATGTGTTCACCTAACTCACCGATGCAAAGATTTTTACATGTATATACTAGGATAGTTTTTAACTTTATGCATGAAGGACATGTAATTAAATTGACTTAATTATCAGGCCTTTTTCAGATTGTGTTTGAAACTTATGAAAACAGAAATTGCTTTTCCTTTAGGGTTATTATAAAAATTACAACTTCCTCTTATTAGCCTTTTTCCTTTGGCTCAATCATGATGACTTTTCAATTTAATTAGACCATGT